GTGGCGAAAAATGTTGCCCAGTAAGTATTGTATGATTTAGTAGACTAGAATTACTCGTATGTGCTTCGTTTAACGTTTTTTCTATTTTATTTCTAGAGCTACGCACATGATAGCCGGAAGGACGATATTGGACGCATACAAGTGGTTCCATGATATCACCACTCAGGGGGCTTGGCTCATCGACGATGTAAGTGAAGTGTTATTGTTACTTTTTGTATACGTTATGTTTAATTTGGTAAATGAAATAAGTACTTATGTTTTTGTTTTCCTTGATGTAGCACATCGACATAGCCATGAACTTGTTGCGCGATCAAGTTAAGAGATATCTACAATCATTCCAGAAGCTTGACCGCATTATACTGAACACCGAGTTCTTTTGTGCCGTTACCATTGAGTATCAGTCCCTCCAGCTTCTAGGTAACGAGTACGTGCTTCCCGCGTATATGTTCGAGTGGGTCATCAGGTTGTCATTGAGTGCAAAGGGAAAGCCATGGGAGGGTTGTACGCATTTGTACATTCCAGTTATCGCGAATCAGCACTGCATTGCACTGGAGATCGTGTTCCCTAATTCGACGATATATGTGTACGACCCCGATCATTCATGTCTGACACAGGAACAGCTCGAGCAGATCTTAGAGCCGATGACTGTGATCGTTCCTATGATGGCTAGACATACGGGCTTGACTGTGGATAACAAACTAGCCATCGTGCAGGACACGACAACGACGAGACAATCTATATCGTAAGTCTTTGTAATTTTATTTTTTTTAATTTAGTAACCAGTTCGTACGTAATTGGAACCGAACTAACACATATTTGTTCATTTATAGGGGCGACTGTGGGATTTTCGCAATCAAATACATAGAATTTTTTAGTATATCACATAAGGTTGATGGAATCAACCAATCATGGATACAGAATTAGCGAAATAAGTTAGTGTGTGATTTATACGAATTTAATTGTGATCCATAAATTATTTGTAAATATTTTTTGTACTTAATATTTGTAATTATTTTTTATGATTATTCATATAAATACTGTTTATTTCAATGTAAATACTATTAATTTCAATATAAATACTATTCATTTCAATGTAAATACTATTCATTTCAATGTAAATACACAATGCTCTAACTGTCATTTAGGGGAACCTAACTTGTACAAAATTGGCGAGTATGTCCTACTGATTCGCACCTGCTACACCTACGCGATCGGGAAAACTCTCTAGTAAATGGTATTCTAGAAGTACTTGGACGTCCAGGACCACGTGGTTCAATGAGAGGTGGCGACAATGTATTGAATGGGCGAATATGATCGGGAACTTCCCACTCAACTTCGTTTGGAAGCGGAAATAGTTTCAACATACGCAACTCTCCAGTTTTCAGCAGTATAATAAGGAGAGCACAATGTTTTCGCTGCAAATCCTCGATACATAGCCACTGCAAGTGCATGCTCACATGGAAAACTCTCTAACTGAAATTGCTTACAAGTGAATGTTCCATCACTTAAATCTACCATATATGCCGTATGACGTACACATTTCACAGAGAAGCGCGACTCGTCTAGTGGTTCGACATTTAACTTTCTCGCAGCCTCTGCAGCCTTGAAGAGCTTTACCTCTTGTGCTGGGGCTAGCATGCTTATGCAATTATGTGATTCCGCACGTTGATCGTGAAACCACTGCTGCAACTTCGTACAGATATTCTCAATCAGTGCGAGAATGGGTAACTCTCGATCCCTCTTAAATAATGCATCGAGAGACTCCGCGTTGTTTGACGTCATCATATTGTATCGACGTCCTAGAAAATATGAGTGCGCCCAATGTTCAATCCCCATTTTCGTTAGATAGTCCCATGCCGAGAATGATTTGCTTCCTATTTCAACTATGTACCTATTACACTCTTCAATACTGTAAGTTTCGGCCGCTCTCCTAAACAATGAAATGATCCCTTTGCCTCGATACTTGGTCTTCAAGTTGCCTTATATATGGTACATGCAATACACATGATGTGCATCGGGAAAAACTTCAGCAATACCATTTATTATAGACTGTCCCCGATCAGTGACAAATGCAAGATCTTAGACTTCTCCGATTACTTTCCTTAGTTTTGTGAAGAACCAACGCATCGACAGATCATTCTCGTTATCAACTATGCAGAATGCAAGAGGGTTAATTTGAATGTTGGCATCTTGACATGTAGCAATAATCAATTGGCCTTGGTATCTGGATTTCAGCTTTGTATCCAAGAGACATAAAGAAGAATTTGAAGCAGTTATCGGCCTCCGTCTCAATAAAAAATGTCGAGCCAGGATTAGTTTTTTCCATGTTATGACAATACCTGGCCAATTTAGCATAGCTTTCTTCTGCCGAGCCTATTAAATCCTCCAATGCGCATTATTTGACTTTTCAGGCCTTCTGGTAGCTCATGACTACTCTGTACTCTGGATGAACATCGTTAATGATGTCCGATGGTCTGTAGATTGTCCGTGAATCCTGATACTTGTGCATTATCTGTCGACCAATAAACTAAGCTGGGGCTTGCTTATGATCATTGCGACAAACTCCTACTTCACAATTATGTTCTCGTGTATATTTGCGAATTACGAAGTACTCATTCGTGTCCATCTTCGTTGCTCGCAAACGCCAACTGCAACTATCATTTATGCATGATAGCGTCAACAACGACCTATTCGATTTTTTCACTCTAAACTCGAAGTTGTATTTCAGTGCAATTAGGTGCACGGCTTCTTGCAAATCTTTCTTCGTTTTAAACAGTTGCTCGACATACAAATCCTCATTATCAAGAACCACACGTGAGAAGTTAGAGGACGGTCCACTCGATCTAGCCCCCGAGGTGCCACCCCACTCATCTCTCTGCCGGGATAAACCAATCAAGTCCTCGTTTGTAAAAGTATTTACATTTTCATTCTCATTGTCACGAGTAGCGGAGGGGATTCTGTGTGCAACTATCTCTGGAATAACCACATCATCTTCACGAGCTATCTCCACCGTATCCCAAAAATCATTAAACATTGTGATCCCCAACTCCCAAGTCCACTTGTTCATCTTCGACGACATCCTTCCTTACTAAAGTCACACAAAGAGGAGTCGTGTACTTATTATTCAGTTCAATCAGATAATGCACTTCATCAACAGAAGAAATCATTATAGGTGGAATCGGAACTGATGCATGCTTGCTGAATTTAAATTTCAATTCCATGTTGTACTGAAAATGATCAACATTCAACTTATTTTGTAAATCATTATAGAATTCTGCATACGATGGACCTGATGATATGGAAATTGCGATACCATCACGTTTATCACTTGTCAATTTCCACACCCATTGATCTTTTTCGTCCAATTCAAAATCATCCAAGTAAAAAACTGAGACTACAACCATATCTGCATGTCGAAACAGAATTTTTAATTACAAAAAAAATATTAATAGCAATAAAAATAACCAAAAAATGGGGGAAAGAAGAAAACAGTTGGCAAACAGCCAGCCAAACAGTCGGCCAAACAGCCGACTGTTTGTCTGGCTGTTTGACCGGCTATTTAACAGCCGGTCAAACAGTCGATTCACCGGCGCCGGCATAATATGCAGATAAATTTTTTTCGGTCAAATACTTAAAAAATTATAGATCTATTACATTTTTTTTTCTACTAAGCATTAAATGTCTAATACAATTTATCGATTTAAACATACAATAATTTAACAAAAACAAGATTAAATTTGCGTATATAAACTTACCGAACCAACTAGATTGATGTCCATAAATTTTTCGACTTCCGATTTCAATAATTTTTTAAGTTTCTGCAGTAGAAGCAGATGAAGGATGAGAGTATTTTATTTATTTGTGTTAGAGTATACAGATAAGAAATGTAGGAAGTGTTTGCTTTTTATTTGTTAAATGAAAATGTATTCATGTCTTTTAAAAAAATCAACTTTTGTAATTGTATAATGTATTTAAGGGTATTTTTGTCTTTTAACATTGGATAGACCATTTTCATAATATCTCTTTGTTGAGAAGTCAATGTGAAATTTAGATGATTTGACCAGGTTAATTTTAAAAGTACCTCTTTTTAATCAAGCTAAAAATATATTAATGTAGTCTATGAATAAGTCTGCTACCCCTCAAAGTTGGGGGTTTGCAAGGTAAAGCTAGCCGGTCATTACTCTAATATTTAACAAATCAGAAGTAAATTATTTATAAGGTGATGCTAGCCGGCCATTATTCTAAAGATTAATAAGTGAAATTTAAATAGTTTTAATATTTCTTAACAAATTGTTTACAATTACACTTTCTATCTTAATCACACTAAAAATCTGCAATGACTTTTGAAAAGTCAAAAAGAACTTTTAAGATCTAAAAGTTATTTTTAGACCCGTTTGACTAATTTTATTAAAGTGTTTTTGGTAGTTAAAAAAGTTTTAACAGGAAGCTGACTTAATGTGACTTCCTCTAAAAACACTTCCGGAATAAAAAGCGCTTTTTAATATTATTTTTTAAATAAAATTTACGTTATATTTCTCCAAAAACTCTTCTATAAGAAGCAAAAATTATATCAAATGGGCACTTAGAATATTTTGGTTCCTCGGTCACATTCTAATGTCAAAACTCAAATGCATATATCTATTGCAGTGGTCCAATCTACTTTTCCAAACTCGAGCGGCAATTAAGCTTCGAAATAACATAAATTAAAGAACATTAATTGAACCAACAATTGTAACGTTGGTCTCTAATCATGCAACCAATTCTATGATTACATAGAGGACAGCCATACACGTCTTTATCAATTATCACAAGCATAATTTTTATTGTACAGAATTAATTTTACAGAATAAAACAAGAACTCTCACACAAGGTCAACCCTATTGTGGGCCCAATATAATAAAAAATGATAAAAGAAAATTCCGACCCCACATGGTGTGAGACCTCCATAAGAGGTCTGTGAACTGGAGGTTGTGTACCCCCAGCTCGATTCTTATTACAAACCCATCTCTAAGACACCAATTTTAGAAAGTTGTCTCTTTTCTCAAATAAATATCAAATCAATCCCAACCCCATTTTTCTCATTCATTATCTTACATTAAAATACAAACCATTATACCAAATGTCGATCTCTGAAATTTCATCAATTTCACCAAATTCATTGACTGAGGTTTCCGTGTCGGAATCGGTTTCTTCACGCAGAATTCAATTGGTATCCAAATCAGTTTCTGAAAGATTACTTTTCAAATTTTCAGATGTTTCAGAATTCAACTTCGATTATTCACGAAGTGGATTATGGTCTCCTCCAATTCAAAGAAACGTGTTTATGAACTCGCCGGGAATGATTTTTACAGAACACGACATGGCGGCGAAGTTGAGAAGCGCATTGGAAACACATCCTCGGAGAAGAAGATCTCGGCTTTCTTCTTCTTTTAATGTACGTATATGTATTTTCTTTATCATTTCAAGGAAAAAAAATCAAAAATAATTTTAGCTGTTTTGTGGTTTTCACGAATATCGTTAGATATTATATAAAGGCATACATACTGTTTTGCAGGCATGCTTGTGTTCTCCAAAGAGATGCTGATGCTTATGATCCTTGTAACATTTTATGGTTGCATTTTATGTAAATTCTCTATGAAAATAAGTTCTAAAATTTTATGTTAATATTCTTAGTACATCAAGATTTTATTTTTTGATAAGTAATTTTATGAAAAATGATTTTCTAAAGAATGCCAAATTAAAAAATAGTAAAAATTATGAATTCAAGTACAAGATTATTTTATTGAAAGAATTTTTAGTTGAATACAACTTCGTAAAAAAAAAAATAGTAAGTGTTTGTTTGAGCTCCATTTTTTGGAAAAATGGATTTTTATAATAGTGAATTTTAGAAAATGTGTGATTGAAAAGTATAAAAAAGCTTTAAATTTATGTCTAAAATTATTTTATTAGAAAAATGTGCGATCAAAAATAAATTTTTAAACATTAGAACTCGAACCATAGATAAATGAGCATACCACATACTGGAATTATACTGTAATCAATTAAGCCCTTGTTCGATTTCCATTATTTGTAAAAAAAAAAAAAAAAATTCTCTCCTTTTTTTGAATCATAGATTTTTCAATAAAATAATATTATACGCAAATTCAAAAATTTTCTTTACTTTTTAACTAAACATTTTTTATCAATCCTTAGCTAAATATTTTTTATCAATCCACTATTTTATAATGCATTATTAGAAAATAACGTGTCTATTGAGTATTGCTAGCAAAGAATAAAATTGGATTAGTGTTTGGACCACCACATTTTCTGACAAGTGACAGATAGTACCACTACGTTGCCAAGAATTTGGTTTAAGGATCCCAAAAGTTCCTTCTTACACATGTTCATGTCCAACCAACGAACCAACCAATACTTTTGTGTCTCTAATGGAGTGATCGAATTGATGGAGTAAATAAGCACGAGAGCTTTTGGACACGAGTTCAATTTTCTCTACCAACCACATTTTCTGACAAGTGACAGATAGTACCACTACGTTGCCAAGAATTTGGTTTAAGGATCCCAAAAGTCCCTTCTTACACATGTTCATGTCCAACCAACGAACCAACCAATACTTTTGTGTCTCTAATGGAGTGATCGAATTGATGGAGTAAATAAGCACGAGAGCTTTTGGACACGAGTTCAATTTTCTCTACCAACCACATTTTCTGACAAGTGACAGATAGTACCACTACGTTGCCAAGAATTTGGTTTAAGGATCCCAAAAGTCCCTTCTTACACATGTTCATGTCCAACCAACGAACCAACCAATACTTTTGTGTCTCTAATGGAGTGATCGAATTGATGGAGTAGCTCAAATTAATTCTACTTATCGAAAAGATGATGAAAATGATCAATTTTTAGACTGCTCAAATTAATTCTACTTATCGAAAAGATGATGAAAGAGATTACAAGATATTGTTAAATTTTTAGGAATCAAACTAGTTGTATCTCCTTCTATACATCAGGTTGGCATCTCTTGATGCGTCACTTTAATATAATAAGTGTAATTCAATCGAGGACCATAATATTGTTACATTGAAAATGTCAAATTTAATGTAAAAAAAAATGTACAATGTAGCAGCTTTTAATTTTTAGTCTCTTGTTTGCTCCACATTCTTTGTACAAATCAACCCAGGGCCAGCAGACCGAATTTTAACTTTTATTAATATTTAGATCCTCTACTGGTCTGACATAATTTCAGCAGAATCTAAAGCACAAACCGTCAAAAAAAAAAAAAAAAAAAAAAAAAAAACCCAAACCAAAAAAAAAAAAAAAAAAAAAAAAAAAAAGACCCAGACACGCAGAACCTGTCTTCATTGCTGGTAAAATATGTACGATAAAACTGCTTTTCTTAACTGCGAAAATTCTCCTCCTCCAGTCCAAATACTCATAATCTCATATTACAGCTTTTACAATAATGCTCATTTGCAATGATTTGTTGACAATGTGTTACAATATTTTGAAAAAGCTGACATGTCACAAATATAAGAATAAAAAAAAAAGAAAAAAAAAAGGAAGGATTGGAACAAAAAAGTAAAAAGGAGGGAAACTTTTTATCGGGAACTAAAAAACCCACTTCTACCGACCTCAAAACCGTTTTCCACCCATTCTTTTGTTCAGAGACCTGCTTTGCCCATTTTTCACAACAAAAGACGGTACTGTTCCAACCATTGTTGCCTACTTAACAATTGTTGAAATCGCGGTGAAGCCCAGTATAAACGTCGACGACTGTGGTCGACAAATTTCCAAAATGTGACCGGGTCCATTGCATAAGTCTTCTCAGCAGCATTTCTCACGTCTTTGCTACTGTGAAGTTTGAATTTTCTAAACCAAACGGAGGACTAACAATTTTTGTTGAGGAAGGTACTCAGAATTTTTTATAGATAAATTTTTGAAAATTGCATCCATATTTAAGGGAGGACGAATATGTATTTAACTGCTTGGCTTCAGATATGTAAAGGAGGATGAATATGTAAACGTTATCTGATTTGATATGTTTGTTGAAATTATTTGCTTCATATACTTCTTGAATTTATGCTATTCTGAAGTAGATTGCAGTTCATGGTACTTTTCATCTTGGGCTGGGATGTAGGTGCCAATGTCACTGAAATTGTCAATTAATAAAATGTTAGAGGGACAATTTAGGACTGAATTTATAAGCCATGCGTGAACTAGTTGGGCTTCACATAATTACATTATTTTTCGTGAAACGGTTAAAATGTCCTTACTTTAGTACTCTTCATTTGTATACATCCTTACACAATAGAAAGTGACATGTTTAACATTCTTTCGTAGAAGCAGAAGTTATGGCAGAATTAGATGAGTTGTTGGTGGAACCCGATAATGAGAATGTGGACGACAATATAATCATAATGGACAATGAAATGGTTGGAGGAGATGATCCGATTGCGCCTACAGTGGGTATGAAATTCGAAGATAAAAAATAAGTCTTCGACTTTTATAAAAGATATGCTTATGCCGTTGGTTTTCCAGTTCGAAAAAGGAATTTGAAAAAGGATGACAATGGGGTTTTGAATTATGTCACATTGACATGTAGTTGTGAGAGTCGTCGAAGTGATAATCCCAGTGGTTCTTTAAAGTTACAGTCAACAATTCAAACGGATTGTAAAGCGAGAATCTTTGCATCTTCCGACTTACTTGGTATCTGGACAATAAATACAGTCCACCTTGAGCACAATTATGAGACAAGTCCTTCAAAATCCAGATTGTATCGCTGCAACAGGGAGTTGAGTGCACAGGTGAAGTGGAGGCTTGAAGTTAACGATATAGCAGGAATTTCGTTGCACAAAAGTTTTAACTCTACAGTTGTTGAAGCATGTGGGTATGAAAACCTGACATGTGTGGAGAAAGATTGTTGAAACTACATCGAACAAATGCGGCGACTACGACTTGGAGAAGGAGATGCTGCAGCCATACAGTCTTACTTTTCAGAAATGCAAGCGAGATGCTCAGGCTTTTACTTTAGTATTGATTTGGACGACGAATCAAGATTAAAGAATGTGTTTTGGGCGAACTATCGATGTAGGCAAATATATAAGGAGTTCGAGGATGTTGTCACATTTGATACCACTTACCTGACCAATAAGTACGATATGCCCTTTGCCCCATTTGTTGGCGTAAACCATCATGGCCAATCAACATTGTTTGGTTTGTGTTTTGATATCGAATGAGGATATGAACACTTTTGTGTTGCTGTTTAGGACATGGCTTTAGTGCATGCACAGTTAACCTTCGCACGAAATAATTACTGATCAGGACAGGGCCATGCAAAATGCAATTGAGATTGTTTTTCCACATACAAAGCAGAGATGGTGTTTATGGCATATTTTGAAGAAATTACCTGAGAAGTTTGAATATCACGTGGACAAGGGTTAGATATTTTCGACTATTCACGAATTGGTATATGACTCTCAATTTATTGAACAATTCGAAGAAGGCTGGAGAGGAATGATCGTTGCGTTCGAGTTGTAGGATAACGACTGGCTAGCGAGAGTATATGAGAATAGAGGACATTGGGTCCCTTGCTACTTCAAAATAATGTTTTGGGCTAGGATGTCGACAACACAGTGAAGTGAGAGTATGAACGCCTTTTTTGACGGTTATGTGCATGCAAAGACCTCGTTGAAATAGTTTGTCGAACAGTATGAACAAACATTGCGAAATAAGGTTGAGAAGGAATTTTAGTCTGATTTCAAGTATTTCTCTCAGATGGTACCGTGTGCTACGACATACGAAATGGAAAAGCAATTTCAAGAGGTCTACACCATTTCCAAATTTCGAGAGGTTCAAGCTGAGTTTACAGGAAAAGTTTACTGCGACCTTATATTTGCTTCACAGGGATAGGTGGGGACAACGTATGAAGTACGGGAGGATGTTGTGTGTGGCGATTATCGAACGAAAAAAAACATTTTTTATCTTATTTCAGAGAGACACATGTGACATTAGTTGCAGTTGCCACTTGTTCGAGTTTCGTGGAATAATTTGCAGGCATGCGATCGTAGTGTTATTCAGAATGATGTTACTGTACTACCGAATCGCTACATACCGAGGAGATAGAGGAGAGACGTAAGTAGAGCACATACGAGGGTTCCAGTTCATTACGATGGGCTGGTGAGTACTCCTGGGCAATTGAGGAACGCCAATATGTGTCAGGCATTTGCCTCGGTGGCAGACCTTCCAGCAGACGATGATGTCCGGTCGAAAGTGGTAATGGATTGGATTAAAACCTTAAAGAAAGAGCTTATGATGCCATCACCAAGCAGTGGAAGTAACATCTTCTCGAATCACACCATTTAGTTACCGTCTCAAGGTGTTGGATCTCAAAATACTGTCGACGGGAGCATAGGCGATCCTAAACAGCCAAAGAAAAAGGGCGTGCCTAAGAAACTTTGAAGGAAAAGCCCATTGGAGATGCCCTCGAAGAAAACAAAGGTAGATATATTAACCCCCTTTTGTCAGCGTACTTAAAAAAACTAAATAAAAATTATCATTTATTTCGAGTGTCATACAATTGCCGTCAGTTGCATGCAAAAGAAAAAAACTAGCAGCGAACCATAGTGGTTTGGCAGAGGTTACAC